GCATTCTTAGGACACTCTCCTCTCGAGCGAGTTGTCCCTCCTTCTTGAAGTGCAGACAGACACATGCTTTGGATGTTTCTGGGAAAACGTTGCTTGGTGCTTTGCTTTGGGGAGTCTTAAGCCACCCAAGCCCATGCAGTCCGATGGAGGTTCCTCCATGAGGAACCATGATTCAGTCCTCGATGAATTGCTGGAGCAGGCGCATGCAGCCCACTTCATCATGTTGGTGGACTTTGCAGGATTCTTCCTCTTCCAGGCACAAACGCCGTGAAACCGACTGTATCAGACATGTGGCTGCCGGCTTTTGATGGGTTATGGTTTCAATTCTCTTTGTGAATTTAAACTCGGGAGGAAGAACTGGTCTACAGTACTTGCTCGAATCCTTTCTCGGGTTATACTCGAACCAAACCTACAGTAAGTTGTTTTAAACCAGTGACACCTTTCCCCATTTGTTATAGTCAAGAGTCGCAATGAGAAAACAAACACATGCACCACACAATACACATCAATTACTGTCAAAACACTTAATTGTGTGCCGCGTCGTTCAACATTCCTTCCGTGTGCTGCCAGCTTAAGCGGCTTCGCACCGAAGATATCCGTATAGTGCTGCTAACAGGTTCTCGCAAGGAGTTGCGCCTTCGACTCGGCTCCAATGAAGTTGCGGCTGTCCCCAATTCTCAGCCCTATTGCCGCAGTGGAGCAGCGTGACGAAAGAAGACACGCGCAACCTTGACAGGTGAACAATCCCACCACCACCAAGGAGAAGAGTGAACAATTGCACTTTGGAATGCTAAACGGACCTGCTGATTCTGGGGATGAATGGCGCGAAGACCGCGTGACAAACCGCGACGCACAGAGTTATTGCGAGTGGCACCGAAGAGATTTTGAGCGGTTTTGGGTGCGTTTTGGGGAGGGACCTGATGTTTGTGAATTTTGTGAGTGTACGATTATAAGTTAGACAATGTTACACATATTTGTTCAAATGACAATCTGTTGGTTCTATCATTATGGATTTTAGACCCGTAGATTGTAGATTTACCCATTATTCATCAAAAGCTGGTTAGGACACAGCGACGAAAGTCGGGCACATTTTCTACAGAGAGATGCTGGCCGTTTCTGTGACCCTTTTCTCCGTATGTGATGGTAGCCCTAGCAAGTCGGTTTGTCAACTTCCCTAAGTGTTCGTCAGTGTTGTGACCTCGATCACTCTATGCCACCCCAGACGATGCTGATTTCCGGTTCGATGCAAGACTCTTCGATGCTATATGCTGCCGAAGAGATGGATCCCATGGATCTTTTTGTTGGGTGAACCAGTGGTCTAACCACATGTTTCATTTTTTTCAATCGAAGACGGGGGTGCTGGTGCAGAATCTTTTGACTCACAACTTTGATATTTCGGAAAGCTGGTGTTTTGGCTGGCTTCCTCTTCGAAACTGATGATATGACGGATCACATCAAGACATTGAAACAGGTTGGGAAGGTCACCCCAGAAAAGAGACATGTTTGCGAGAAGGAGTCCAATACAACATAGGATCGTAGTACAAGATAGTAGTACAATATGAACATAGAATATGCGCAAAATGTGTACCACGACAGTCGACAGTCCCCTTTTCTGATTCTTTTCCAATCACTACCAAACCTTTTGACTCCACATGGAACAACCGTTTCAACTTGGAATCTTCCACACACCTCCTCTCCCAGCTCCGCCTTCTATTTTTCGCTAAGGCAGGGGCTCTTGGATGAGGATGCGCAGGACAGACTGGCAGAGCTCACAGACGGATTTTATCATCATAATCTCACACTACAGCGGGGCATAGCGCAACAACATGTTGTGTGTGTGCGTGTGACCGGAGAGCTATTAAGAAACAAGACTGAAACATAAGGTGTTGAAAGGACCCGATCGAGATCGATCGAGCATTGGGCTGTGCAGGATGAACCCTGAGCACATCCATATTCCATTTGAAGGCGCAGCGCAGCATTGGGTGCTGCCAGAAAACAAGTCGACAAGGTCTTGCAAAGGATCCCGCAAGAATGCAAAAGTCTTCCATCATGTGCAAAAAAAAAAACACACAACAGTTCCAAAGATCAGTCGCCTGTTGGTTTCTATGACTCCAAGACTGGCGGATTCTGGCAGACGATTCTGGAAGAAAGGTTGCTAGGACAGCCGAACAAAGGTGCGTCCAGTTCCTTTTTGGTCGGATGGCTTTCTATGCACGAGAACAAAATATATGTTGCTTATTTCTTATTCTACACGGAAGAGGCCTAGTACCATGTGTATATAAGTGATTTCTACTGCACAGCAGCCTTTCCCCGTCATTCGAGGGCGGCTCTTGATACAATCTTTCCCCAAAAATGCATATATATATATATACATATTTACATATACAAGAAATTTTCCAAGAAGTGCGAAGGATAGAAATGGAGGCCATCGCTAGCAGGTTGGAGGCCATTACTACTAATAGCAAGAAGCTATTAGGTTGGAGGCCATCGCTACTAGTAACAAAAACGCTTTGTGGTATGACCTTGTGAGCATGTGGTTAGAGCCCTAGTGGGACTGACGAACGCAGGTTTTGAGGAAGACAAGTGTGAAGTCACGTTCAGCCGCCAAATCTCCCCGAGGTATTGTAGATACCTGCATGTGTGTCTTGGCGACGTACGAGGGATGTCAAAACTGAGAAGCGAAGGCAGACAGCGCCTTTTGCTGTACCCTGCGAACGAGATGTTGCACGAATTGTGATGAAGTTCAGATGCATACCTGGCCCATGGTTCGCATGTCATTGCCTTGCTGCTGAGCAGAATTGGCAAACGGATTCGCCTCACTTTCATATTACAGGAAGTTATATGGCCAGTATTTGGCAGTTGTTCTTTTTTAGACCAGCTATGAAGAATGACTAAGCATAGCGTCAAACACGAACACCGGCTCCAGACAGGCTCCATTCCTTCTTTGTGCCCAGTTATGGGTCACTGTGGTAGACAACGGCAGTCTGACAATCGCAATCTGACACTCGTTGCAGTTGAACATGCGACTCCAGCATCCTTCGGCATCATGAACTTCGTCATCCCAGATTCTGCCGGTCACTAGCTCCAACGCTACCAGCCTGACGTCGGTCAAAAAGCAGATCCGTGGACGAGGGAAGGAGAAACGTGTTGAATAGCCGCCATAGCTGAATAGATGCAATCAATGTGCCAGGAAGGCATTCCTGATGTAGAGGGGGAAGTGCCAGAGTGAGGAATCATATATGTTTTGCATTTCCACGTAACTCAACCCAAACAAGTCATAAAGGTTTGACACCTCTACTGCTGGAGGAAAAATGCAGAGCTTCTGTACTGATTGCTGCCACTACGAGTGTAGGAGGGGCGTGCAGCATCCAACCAACTTGTTATCACGCAAAGGAGTCTTGAAAAGCTATGGACTTATGCGAGCTATTGAAGCTTTTAGGCCAGTTAGGGCAGAAAGCAGCGCTCCTGTTGGAAAGGCCATGCAAACTGGCCTGTGGCTAGGGAGATTGGCGGGCTCCGTCATAGTTGGGTCAAAGCTCACTGTAGGAATCGAAACTGTTTGCGAGTCAGTACAGGGGTTGTCCGGCCCAAGCTGAAGTGACCCTGAAGGCTTTGTGAATGGGAGGTTTTGGGTGCTTTCTGAGGCTTTTGAGACTGTGCCCGCGCCATGCCTTTTGGCCTTGTGTGCAGTCTCTATGCTGTGGATAGGTTTCAAGTCTTATGGTATGAGGCATGGACAAGCTACGTTTTCAACGGAGCATACGAGACAAAGAAATCAGGCAAACAGATCCCACACAGCAGACCTGCAAAACCTGAGGAAATCGATCAACACCAGAAACAAACAGAACCCCCATGTGATAGCCATCAACAGCATACTGTTGCGAGGAGCCTGTTCATCAGGATATTCACTCGAGACAGCACGTTCCACGTTTGATGTCATTGCTGGAAGATATGAACATATTTATGAACCATTGTTCATTCTGGGCCAGACAAAAAGTCCTTGAAAAGATCTTGAAGCCTCAAAGCCAACAAGAAGCAAACCCAAAACACGTTGGGGACTCCGACGACCTGTCCAGTCCGCCACAGCGGACCAGTCCGATCGATGGACCCTAGAGGCGGGCTGAGGCTCAGTGGTGAAGATCAGGTGGAAGTTGCAAGACGCTGCTTTAGCCCAAAATATCAAGCTACAAGGTACACCAGGTATCACAAGGTATTACATGGTTATAAGATGTTATATAAGGATTTGGTTTTGAGTGAATGATATCACCGAAGTCGCCGAAGTTCGCTTGATCGACGTCACCAACGTTTGTCCTTGGCTTGTGGAATTCGGTGGACCTTCAATCTTTGTGTCGCTTTCACGGGGTCGTTTCACAGGCTCCGCGGAACGAGGAGTCAGACGACGAGTCGGAAGATCCAGAGAAGAGTCGAATGGGAAGATCCAAACAACGTCATTGCTCATGTTAGTTACTGTTAGTTGCGATGCTTCGGGTCACTTCACCAGCGGTTTTTCTGGCGTTTTTTTTTGCTCGAAATTCTCCACCTGCCTCGGCAGTTCAGCTGTCGCCCGGTGAGATGCCGCAATTTGCGCCCCACAAGGCGTCCGACCACGGGGAGCTGGGCCACGAGGGGTTGGGGGCCTCCCCCCGGACAATACCACGAAGGTGATCATATGAGGTGTTTGGCTTGTGGTGACTTTCCCAGAATATCTCGGATGATATCCCTGGTGGCGTTTTAAAAGGGGATTCACTTTGTCCTATTCGTTTTGCTTTGTGTTGGTTTTGACCTTTGGCATTTTGACCTTTGGAATCAACGTCATTCCTATGTTGCGCCCAAACTCGGCTGGAATTTGCTTCTCAGTATGTCAATTCACGAGGGCGGACATCATGGGGCTGATACCTGGTTCACTGGTTGTGTGATAAATGGTATGTGCTTAACATCCCACTGCATCATGTCATGTATCAATATGCGTGTCTTGGGGATTTGGCCCTGAGGCCTTGCTGAGTGGGCTATTGGGCTCGCCACTTGGTCACAAGGAATCACTGCAATCAGGGGGAGGGCTTTGGTCATGAGCAGAGGAGTCAATAACAACACCCTTGGTGGCCTAGGTGTGGGGTCAGATAATCCCCACACCGTGCCACACTGTTTTCGTGGTAGGCCATCGCTATTAGGTTGGAGGCCATTGCTACTAGAAACAAGGGGTATACTAGTAACATTCGTGGTTTCGTCATCGTTAGGATCCCACCAATTGGAGATCGTCCGTCCGAGGACGCTTCGACGAAGCGATTGGAGAGGTCCCCCCTCCTTTCGATCAATGTGGATGGATCGATTGGAGGATGTAGAGCCATCAAACATGGGGCCTGGTATGGCCTGGTCTCTTACGGATGAACAATCCACGTGGAATTTCCCTGGTGAGAAGAAACTGTGTGGCCTTTGTTTTTTTCAAGTCGCAGAAAGAAGGCGGTAGAGATAGTTGCTATGCTGCTTCGATGTTTAATGTGCTTGTCGCAAACGTTTTTGAAGCCCAATAGCCTATACATACCTATAACTATATCAAGTCCCATTGGCACCCCTTGGTACTGTATGAGAAACCCAGGTGGTGGATGTTGGAGTTGAAGATTAGTTACATGGATCAAACAGGCGCTGTGACCACCGTCCGCCGGCGGTCGAGGTGTGCCTATTCGGTTTGGGGCTTTCACCGACAGAGGCTGAAAGGCACCGGGTTCCCGTGAAGTGACCGTTGGCACGGAGAGGGATCTGGAGCTTCCAGATGTGGCAGGCATTGACCATGTTTGAGACGAATGTTTTTCACGCGTGCCGCTCGGAAGAAGTAGCCGCACGCACTTGAAATTCTTATTATGCAAGTGCACCATGTCTCATCAAAAGACCAATTGCACCAGACCAGGGAAAGTTGAAGTCTGTTTTGTCCTTGATGTGGGGTGCGGGAAATGGCTGTGGGTCAAAATCCCAGAACCTTGGTTGACCCGTCAAAAGGAACAGATTCTTCTAATTTGTAGGGTGAGGTTTTGACCCACAGCCAAATGGCTTGCAGGTCCAGGTTGGACCGACCGACCGTGTTTCTTGTCGTCGGACGATCTACGGTTTGTGGTTTGTGGACGTGGCTGCCGAAAGTGATCGGTGCGAATCCAAACGCAGCCGGTTACGACGGGTGCTGTCACTATGCTCATCGGTTTTATTGTGCAATTCTTTGGGTGGTGTTTTTTGTTCGCTTGGTGTTTAATCCACGTGTCGAAAAGGAGAGTTGACCCTCGCTCGAAGACCCGACCATGACTGACTGATGACTCATGACTGACCTTGTTCCTGAGGGCTTCCATGCCTCCGGATGAAATGCATCTGGAAGCCCTTCTGCCCTTCTGGGCTCTTCTGAGAACCAGTGGGTATAGGGAACAGAAAGGCCTGTTGTGGGCAGACAATTGAGACCCTTGGCACATCATTTGACAAAATTATACTAGTGTCCTTGTTACTACTAGTAAGGCACTTGTTACTAGTAGTGATGCACTTGTTTCTACTAGCTTCTTGTTACTAGTATTGACAAAATATGTTATCAATAACTTTGGAGCAAAATGTGACAAAATCCACAGTGTATACCTGCATGCGTGGCACACTCTAGAAGCACAGATGAATCTGGATTAGTCATACTTATATATAATGTATATAAAAGCAACAAGTTTCCACAGCAAGACTTCTTAGCAATCGGAATTCTTGTGAAAAACAAAAAACAAACAATAACAGTGTTTCCACAACTATAGTTTGATCTCTGGACTAGTTACCAAATCTTTGTGTGTTTTTTGGTTTAAAAGCAAAAGTTTTCACAGCAACACTTCTCAGGAAGTACTATTCTATCTGAATGCTTGTGAAAAAAATAACAAAAAGCCAAACAAAAGTTTCCACAACTAGTCTGATCTCTGGACTAGTTGCCAAATTGTTTGTCTGTGTTTTTTTTGTTTTCTCGAGGTCTTGGTCTAATCGTGATTGACTTGGATCAATCCTGAGTAATAGCATTCTATTCTGAATCAAATAAATAGGAAAAAAGGTACCATTTTCGACAATAGGAACAATAAGATGGTTTCTTGTGACTTTCCTTTTTAAAGATAACTAATTCCTTTCATTTTCCTTTGCACAGTAATGAACATAATTGATATGGTTTAAAGAACATGAATGGAGTTGATCATTGTTCAAAGGGAAACTGAAAGGAATTGTTCATCCTTTATTCCTTGTTTCCTTTTCATTTTCTATTCCTAGAGTACTGTCATTCTTTTCCTGTTTTCTTTATTCCCATGTCCAGCTGGACCAAGCCGAGCCGCCGCAGAAAACGCGACTCACTGACTACCGCTGGCCCAAGCTAACTATCAGCTTCTCGGTACCACTCTTGTGAGTCCAAAAGACCCGTTTGTAGGTTATTATATATATATAACAATCAAGTATATGTTTCCGTTCTACCTAATTATTATGGTCAGAAATCGTTTGCACCGTTCCTTGCTTTTTGGGGTTCTTTTCGTCTTCACAGTGGCCAGGCTTAGCCCTGCGCTCCGGCAGCGCAGGCACCGGCCGGACAGTGGGCGAACGAGCTGCTTCTGGTGTCCGTTCTCCATGATCCGCTGGGGTCCAACTCATTCATTCCATTGCTAAACACCTGATTTCGTCGGTCACTCCTAAGAATTTGTCACATGAACTGCCGCCAAAACACGTCTGACAATGTTTGACGTTCTTTGGGGATTCTGCAAGACCCTGATTCACCAATGGTTGAGGCTTGCTTTGTGCGGCCTTAAGCTATGGCTCTTCCCTTTGGCATGCCGTGCAGGTGTGGCGGGTTTGGGAAACGCTGCTGTTGAGAGCCATCACCCGTTAACCAATAGACTTCTGTAGAGAAGCCCCTCTGGCCCGAAGCCCTTTCACCAGGCGCTCAGGACAGCAATGTGAAATGCTTGATGCTTGGGGGTGAAGTAGTAGAACACTAATTAACTGAGATACCTGGAAACGTTGTCGCGTTGGAAACGTTGGTTTGTCCCTGTGCCTTGCGATAACACGATCCACTCTTCTGCGGCATGAATCCATTGTCACATTTGCTTGGTCAAATGTCCATGTTTCATCATGTTTCTATATCTTTTCTCAAGATATGGTGTCCGAATGTTTGGAGCATGACCCTCTTGATCTATATCAAGAGTCCGTGATCCCCCTCCACGAGGCACGGCGTCACTCACACTCACTGGAACGGCTGAGAGAAAACTCGGAGGCCCGTCACTCACCCGTCTCGGAGTGGCGCGTGACTGAATGGCGGGTTTCGCTCATTCTACCCATGGTTGCAATGGCCTCCACCTAATAGCGTCCTTGTTACATCTTGTTACTAGTAGCTTCTTGTTCCTAGTAGTAAGGCCAGGAGCTACTAGTGTTAGCTTCTTCTTGCTCCTAGTAGCGATGCCCTTTGTTACTAGTAGCAAGTATTTCGTGAGAAAAGAGGTTTTAGCACAGCATTTACGCCATGAAAGTCCGACCTTTGCTGGAACTGGATGACTTGATTTCAAAAGGGATTCAGAGCGTTGGTCGATATGGGTTGCCAGGAGCTGATGTGTGTCACGGATTGAATGTCCACGCTTGCGTGACACTATGTGTGGGTATGCCGCAAATATGCCTAATAACGTGCCTAATGATGATCCCACTGAAACCACCCAGTGAATTTGAGTGAGATGTGCAATAGCCTCGAAAATCAGCTTTGGTTTGGTCTTCCTTCTACTGCTCGATAGTGCTTGCTGTGGGCTTTGGTGTGCAAGCTGACATAGAGAGCAAGCTGACAACACAGTGAAGGTATTTTTTGTCAAAGACAACAGTGAGGATGATGGCGATGGTGAGGCCGATCATATCATGGTGATGATGTGTCTCACGATTGTTGTTTTGTTTTCAGGATCCTGAGAAGAAGCAGAATAATGATGATAAAAAAGACGATTATGTAGTAGTAAGATGACAATCCAAATGACGTTCCTGTTAATTACATAGTTGCTCTACACGTTGCTCTACACCGTTGATGTCCCCAGCCATTCCGCGTTGATCAACTGACCGCTTCTTCAGCCATTCCGCAAGCTTTGAGGCGATCCGCATGGTGCCAATCGACAACCTGGCTCCTCCATTGCCCATTGAGGCCGGCGACAATCGTCAGACCGGAGCTGAGATGGATGTTTCGGCTTGCGCGGAAGGACACAGAGACTTCTGTCACAGAAACAAGAAGTAACATTCTTTACACGGGTAACAGGTAAACAAACCGTACACACAGAGACTTCTTGATCCTTCAAGACTTCTTGATCCACAGAAACTTCTTAATCCTTCTGACACAGACTTCCGGATTTAATCCTTCAAAAGGAAAGGCGCCGGTTGTCGCTCATTCAGTTGTTGCCGAGAGCGAAGGACCTACGAAGTCGATAGACCGATGATGGGACTGCATGAAACTGAGCATTTGTTTGCGAAAGAAACTTGGATCATGTATTCTGTCAGCGTTTGAACCTTGATGTAGAGCAAGTCATACTCAAATTGTTTGATGATTCACCAGGTTTGCAGCTTTCAACATGGCACAGAAAGAAATCAAAACAGTGAGCAGAGCTCCCCCACTTGCGTACATAGGTTCGGACTTTGGAACATCCGGATAAGGGAACACCTACGGATCACAATGATAGTCGTTTCATAGACTTCTATCTATCATCACTACCTTGAATTCTTTGACCTTGACATCCAAAAGAGAACCAACATCGGTCGTCGCTTCTACGGGTTCGTGCCCGCACGATCTGGGATCAACCTGGAGGCCAGTCCCAGGTCCCAAGTGGAGTAGAATAATGAGTACCTCCAGGATGGAGGGATTATGTTTCGAGTTTTCAGATGTTCGGGTTTTCTTTCTTGGGCCCAAAAATCAGAGCACGGTGGCACACTTTGGCACCCCACGCGGGTTCTCGCAGCACGTTTGTTCAACGCGGTGCAAGAAGCGTACTGAGAGGGGGTTGCCCTTAGCAGGACGCAATTGAATGAGCTGTGTTTTGCGTTGTGAGGTCACTCCGACGCAAGCTCACCTCACCGAAACCACGTTGAAGTCGTGTTGGCCTTGGGAATTCCATGTTCCCTGCAGGCATTTGCAGGCCCCATGTTCGCTCACCTTTTGATGGCTCACAGTTGGGAGCGACTTCGCACCACCCGAGCTGGCCAGGAGTTCGATGAGGCCACAGGGCAAGATGCCCGAAGGGTCAACGATGAACTCCTGCGGCAGATTCACCGGGAGGAGCTGCGCGATGTGCGCGATGTGCAAGGGTATATATGGCAAACAAAGAAAAGTATTGATTTTGCAGCTGTTCAGAGCATCCACCTGCTCTCAGCCCTCACATGCACACATGCGGAACACTAAGGGTGAAAAATGGGAGGATGATCAAGACTTCTCAAAGAATTGTTTTCTCATTTGTGTCACCCACAGAATTACCTCGGAACAGAATCAATGTCAACCAACTGTTGTTGTTGTTGCTGTTTCTATGGAGGGAGCTTGCGTGACTCAGACGCTCAATGAGTTGAGCACTGCCAAACCAGCCCCAGTGACTGTCTCGTGATTCGCCTGCCTTTCATCATGTTACGGTAGTCTAAAATACCTGTTCCCACCGTGTATTTAAAGGGTCTGGCCGGGCCCCGTATATTTAAAATGTAGACGGATCCCTGTTGACATTTCTTTTACAAAAAGGGAGAGCTTGAGGCCCTTACAGAGGGGCCATGTTGTAACGAGGCAGCTTTGGGCACCTACAGAACCCGATTTTTGTAGAGAAATAACTTTGCTGTCTGCCCAGCAACTAGGTCAATCTAGCTTTTCAAACCCTCTCACGGGAAGTAGAACTCATCAAGGACTCTTACTACTTTCAGGGCTGCAGGCTGTATGGGGAGGTGCCACACCACCAAATCAAAACCACCAGGGCCGCCTGGACCACCAAGACCACTTGGACCACAAGGACCACCTAGGACCTAGACCACCAAGATCGCCCAGATCGCCGGACCCAAGACCACGGGGACCACCAAGACCACCTAGACCAAGACCACCAAGGCCACCAAGAGCACCACCAACACCGCCTAGACCGCCACAATCACCACCAAGACTACCAAGACCACCTAGACCACGGAGACCACTAAGGCCCACCGGGACCTCCAAGATCACCAAGAGCACCTCCAACACCCCACATAATAGATAGTGTATTTGAGTTTAGTAATCGTATATTTAAATCGTATATATTCTATCCGTATGCTTAAAGGGTCTGGCCGGGCTGGCAAAAACCTTGCCGGAGGTAGTCTAAAATACCTGTTCACCTGTTTAAACAATCGTATCTTTAAACGGCGATAACGTATAGCGGTCCTTGGATATGATGGATTGCAGAACCCGTTTGTCTATTACTGTCTTGATGTTGTTTTTCGTTTATATGTTTCGCGGCGTCCTTTTAAGCCAGGGGAAACAAATAAATATGTGCTTTGCTTCAGACCATGATGGTTTGCCTTACAAGCATAAGACCAAGTTCCATGCATTGCCACTGGCAAGTGGTCTCCACCGTGGGCGCCAGGACCGTGGGCGGCACCGATAAGACCAGTGCGAAGAAGAAGAGCGACCCACCGCGTCGGCCATCGATGTCAGTGACATGCTGGAGCAGACACCACGTTGAGTCCGGCAAGTGATTCGGTCGAGTCATTGTGGTTCATTGTTGCTAGGATTTTGTATGGTCCATTCGCATTGTTGTGCACCAGTGGTGGAGCCTACTTGCATAGGTTGGAGGCCATTTTTGTCTCTTCTCGTGGCTCAGAGTCCGCACCATTTGATTCTTGGCTCAGAGTCGGGGGGTCCGCTGCTACGGGGTCGCAGCCGCGATGGTGTGCCTCTCGGCAGCGAGACACTTTTACATGCTGCGGATGGAGAAAGAACTGTGCCATTTCAGAGCATGTAGGGATACAATTGGATAGTTCCATGGGATACCGGGATACCTTATTCCATCCTATCCCTATGCTGTAGATGTTCTCACTTACAAACCGTGACTTGATGTTGTCCTTCAACAGTACCGGCCCGTTGCAAGACTCCAATGTGGTTTCTGGTTGGTGCATGCTGCCGCGCTGGTTGTTTGCAACGAACGTCCAAGGACTCGAAAAGGAGCTCCCACCGCCGATCGTAGGCCCTCCAGCACATGTCTTCTCAACTGAATGACTTGAGAATTTGATGAAGTTTCATCTCCCTTTGCCACATTTGCAGGGTTTCCATATGTGGTGAAGCTGTGCAACCGCATCCTGACATGTCAGCTTCCTTTGGGTGACCGGTCACCAAGATGGTCACCATGGAGACACAGAGAAAAGGTCGGTGACCAACTGTGCTTGGCGCATCTTGGGGTGACCTTTGGGGGATTGCCGTTTTGCTTGAGCCGTTTTGGGATGTTTGTGTTGAAATAGGGAGGTCACACCCCAAAAGCGACCCTCCATGTTTTTGGTTTGATTTATGTTTCCTTTTTGAAGGGGTCTTCCGGGGGATCGATCCCTATGGCAATACACTCATTTGCCTCAAACTATTTGCATGCAAAATTCATTGCTTTCCAGGATGGACGAGGCTTGATATAGACTTCGTTCCGATCATCAACGTAACTTCCATGCCTGGGTTCGGGCCTATAGGTACCACGCTATGGGTACTCTTCAACTCAACAATCCTGGCTGCGAGGATTGGTGCAACAATCCATTGTTTTGGAAGTCGGCTGTTTGGTGCCTGCCCTGGTTGGTTCAGAATGGAACCAGGACACCCAGGAAGGCGGAACTATTCTCCCCTGACCTTCCCCACAGAGAGTTCAATGAATTCCATGAGCGTGCCATGGAGCTGAAACTAGGGAGACACATGATGGGTGGTGTTTTCAGATGTTATATATATATATAGAATTATATAGATTATATGTTCAACCTTTTCTTGGGAGGATTGATCCCATTCACTCATACTTTTTGAGTTGAAACCACCTACATATAATAAATATCTTGGAGACACCAAGCATTTGTTCGGGGAGGCTCCTTCCCAACGCCGCTCTTCTCCGTCACAGCTGTTTTTGTGGCCAAGAGACAGTGGCCGCCCTGAAATCCTGGGGTCTTTGGAGATGTTCAGGTCAAAAGTGTGAGAAGAAGCTGGCGAAGCTTGTGGGTGTCCCAGACAGGAGGGAGACGACGAAGTGGACGCGGCCAGGTTCAGTCCGACCTGGCCAGGTTCGGACCCAACAGAAGGCAGAAAGGTCAATGGAGTGACCAAGTTCAGCATCGTAATTTTTGTTTTATCAGAGATGTTGGGTTCAAATCAATTCCGAATATAGATTAAAAAGGTGGCAGAATTCGAAGCAGAACCTGCGTAGTTGTTTGGGACGCTCTCCTTGTTGCGGTGCGTGCTCGATGTACCCAGACGTTGGGCACAATCATGGTGAAGTAGTAGGTGGCACAAGTATACAGTATACATACAATATCATACAATAATATCATACAATGTATTGGCACAACTCCAATCTATTGACAATGACATGTGCTTGCGATGAGAATCTTTGGTATAATATAGATAGTGAGTGCAAAGTGTTTATTATTAGATGTCGTTTTGATGTTTGTCGACCCTCTAGGGCCCTAGGGTGCAATTGCCATCTCAGTCTCATGGTTGATATCTTTTCCAGGGCAGCTTCTTTTGCATATGTGATGAGGGAAGAAGTACTCGTGCCTTTCGCCCTTGGATCGGGTAAGGAATTGAGTGCCTCTAGTATGTGTAAGCCATTCATTCAAAGCTGTTGCATTCTCTTTGTCATCCCTATTCATTTAATACAATGAATTTACCCACAACAAAGCGGTGCAGATGTTTTGCGAGTTGCTTTTGGCTTGGAGACTTGGAGATGTAGGAAAGAACAAAGCCACTGTTTACAGTTGTTTACATCATATGAATCATTCGGTGCATGGGGCAGCTTTGGCACATCGACAATGAGGTTTCTCCAACTCGGGAAGAACCTTCGTCTCGAGTTGAGATCAGTCTTACTCGAATTCTTGGGGGACATCGAGATCCCCCATGTGCTGGGTCTATATAAGGTGAACTGCAGACCTTAGTTTTTCACCCCTCTGCCAGCATGTTGGCTTGATGAACCCACTCACATTTGCACACCTGATGCCACTGGAGCCCGACTCTTGCCGAGTCACACGCGCACGTACACCTCCTTCCAGTCATTGATTCGACCACTTCGCCCGGCTCTTCCTCTTGACCCCTGCGCCTCCACCGGTCAGCGCTCCGCCGAGGCCAACCCAGATGTGTGGCGTGAGGGTGGTCGAAACAATACGATGCACGGCCTCCCGTTGACGGCCTTCGACGCGTCAATCGGTCGGATCGGTCCGGTCGGATCGGTCCGGACCCGATCGGTGCGTCCAGGGGGGTCGGAGGGGCAAGGGAAGCGTGAAAGACGTGAAAGTCCGGCTTCCTTGGCCTAGTGATGCTCACAGTGAAAAACGCATGAGAGTTTTTTTGGGGGCGTGATGGTGTGATGGTTGATTGCGCGACTTGGTGGACCCCTCGTGCACGATAAAGGTCGAAAAATCTTCCATTCGGTTGTCATTTCCTCTATGGAATGAGGGGGGGTCAACACTCCCTATAAAACGATTTATGGATGTGGCACCTTGGTCCCTGGAGGGGGACACCCTCCGCATTCTATAGAGAAATTGTAAACAGGATTTGATCAGTATGTTGCGCGCAGAGTGTCCATTTTGTGATATTTTGGCCATTTTGGCTGAATGGGCAGGAATCCTAGAAAACAACATGCATATACACAAGTTTATTCCATGTAACTTCGAAGTGTTCATAATGAAACCAAGAAGCACGCGTGCATGGACACGTCTGATAATGGTGAGAAGCGTGCAGAAAATGAGAAGGACGTGAACACGTTGAGGAACCAACAGGAATAGAATATATAGAACAGACTGTCGCAAAGCAGGCCCAACACTTTTTGATCCTTCGAGCAGGGGAAAGCTGCTGGGCCCAATGCCTACCCTGAAAAAACAAGGGCCATGCCTCATGGACTCAAGTCCGTTCACGAAGCTAGTCTTCGTGCGTCTATGAGTCGAGTTCACATGAGTCGAGTAGTTGACATGTGTCCAGTCCGAGGCGTGACAAGGACAAGGGCGCACGGACTGTCAATGAGAACATGCTCCTGAAGCACAAATCAATAAACAAGGCCACTGTCGTTGCGACTGACTGTTGTTTCAATCTGGGCTTGGAGTCTAGGCATGCGCTGGCTTGGACATTTGGGTTGTTCTTCTTGTACAACAACAACATGTAAGTGTGACTTGGCTCCGTCATCAAGTGATAAGTGCTTTGGACCATCCACAATGAGTGAAGCTCAAATCGTGAATCCCTCAATATGTTCAACAGTGTGAGACGATTAACAACTACGGCTTTGCAATTTGGGTATGAATCCACAATAATACGGTCTGAAGGCTGCAAGAAGCAGCAGGGTTTATACAATTCCACACCTAGCTTGCTGGGCAAACAGAGAAGGCCTTGTGAATCTTGGTGCATATTTGAACCGATTGTACTATACTATACCCCTTTCGATAGACTTCTTATGGCTTGGTATACTATACCCCTTGGTATACCCCTTGGTATACCCCTTGGTAACGGCAAATCGGTGTCGTCCCCATCCTGGATGCTGTGGGAGGAAAATGCACTTTGCTTGTGCTCAATTGACGCCGTAGGCTTCGGTCAGTGGAGAGAAGTCAGATAACCACTTAAACCAAGACCGAAGGCCGGTGCTTCGGACGTCGTCCGCGGAGCCAGGGCAACCCCTACGCTTCGAAGTGCAAGCATTGCAAATGTGCTTTGCATCAACAAGGGGTCAGCTGGCAAGTTGATCACCGGACAAGCGCACATCTCTGGAATTGGGAGGGGCTGGTCATGGGAGAGGCCGGAGCCGGAGCTGTATATATTATGTAGAAAAGATAGAGCAACAACATACATCAACCAAAGAAACGACCACATGTTTGTTGTTGCTGTTGTGTTCTGATACAGAAGTACAGGTTTGTTAAGCCAAGGTGCAGGCTATACGTACAGGTGGGTCCGCAGTGGAATACGTACAGGTCATCCAAGCCAAAGTCCCTTTGGGAATGTCGGACGCGGTCGTAACGCTCCTGCATTTTCTGCAGTTTTCAGCTGCCAATGCTACCGCGCTGGCACGGTTTTAGATGTGCAGAAGAGGTGCAGGGCCGGCCAGGTATTCGTGCTTTGAGTGCTTTTTAAAGGGTCTTGAGACAACTGCCCGAACCTCGTCCAGCCCTGGCCCAGCCGCCCGCCTGTCAGCCCTGGCAGCTCGCATCTCGTAGCCATCTCGTACGCCATGTCGGATGATATCTCCTTTGGACGAAAGCTTTCGAACACCATGGACCGGACATTTGGGACGCTTGGTTGTCATTTGGACGTCCACAGGTTGGGAGTTCGGATAGTTTGGATGAGAGTCTTGTTTACTTTTTGCAAAGTTTGGATTGAAAACTCACCAGCCTACGAGGCTCCCAGGTTCATCACCTTTGTGAAGTCCCCTTTACCTCAAAACTGATGGTGATAGCGGCGCACCCTCCAGTTGTTTGGCTCCATCTCTTCCCACAGATCAGGCAGCCGAAAAGAGTTCATGGAGGCTTTCAGCTTTGGATGTAGATTTAAGATGGGCTGGCCCCTGAAAGTTCTTTCCTAAAAGCCCTCATGGATCAAAGGGCTTCGTGTTGAGCTTCATTTGCATGTCTTTGGAAATCAATATTTGTTAGGCAGACTTGCAATTCTTTTTGTGATTCCATGTGTTTCCAATTCCAATGCTGTTGCTTGCAACTGTTCACAAGAATTCCGAATTTGCTGCCATAAGAGGGAACCCCCTGAAACAAGTCTCTGGAGCCTTAAGAAACTCACATTCAATTCTTTACTCATCCTGATTCAACCAGTTTTCTTTTACCACTCAGATTACTGTCTTGGGGAACTGGAGTGCGCTGCTCAAACAGACTCTACTAAGGATGCATGACAAGGGCTGGGTACGATCCAGCCTCCATGCTGGAGTCCATGCTGCTCAGGGCCTTCTGGCCAATTTGCAAGGCCAGTGGATGATGTTTGTACATGGGCCAGTCTAGGGATCCAAGAAAGAGCCAAGCCATGGAGGAAGATAAGGAGACCAGCAAATATTCTCTTTCTCTCTATATATATATAATAAGTGCGCTCCGCAATTGAGAGAAACAAGATAATTCTTCAGTCATGGCCTCGGCGTTGAAAAACAAAAGCGAGATGCATGCGAAATGCCTTCGGTACATTGATCAGATACTAGAGGTGGATTAAATGGTCACCACTGCGGACTTCAAAGATGCGTTGGTATTCCAAGCACACTTTGTCCTCATCAATGGCAATAAGGACCGAAGAGTTTCTCCCCAGCTTGTACTGTAGCCAGCCGTCGTGACAGGCAACACTGCTGAATCCCAGAAGCAGTTTGATCGCGCGAAAGAGCAGTGGGACCGAGTCGACAACAACCGGCTCGGGAGGACCACAGGGCCAGGCAAGGTTTGCTTGGGCATGCGTCAGGGTGTCAGCTTGAGTCAATCGAAAGAAGCATGGGCACGGTGCGTATGTGAGAATGCTTAAATCTTGAAAGTGCGCTTGACACACAGGCTGTGTTTGTCAATTCTGTGCAACTATGTCAGTACTTGCAACAAATGGAAGAGAGATAAATGAACCATTGATGCACGCGGTACATATTTGGGAGTGTTCAAGGGAAGGACACAAGGGCCATGCTATTTCTACCCAATCAGTAGGTAACCTCAATCTATGCTTGTGGGATTGGTTTCTCCACCAAACAAGAGCAGATTTGACCTTTCTTTCCAGGGAATCGGCTCGGGAGGAGGTGGAGGCCATCGCTCTTAGGTTGGAGGCCATCTCTATTAGGTTGGATAGGAACTTCACTAAAGGGAAACGGTTGACCTTTTCTTCTAGGGAATCGGCATAATCGGCATCAGTATTGCAAGGGCAGCTTAACCTTTCCTTTCACCATGTCGCGTGCACCAGGCTACCGTGGGAACGACAATGGCAAAGGGGTGCTGGGATCCCCACGTTCAAGAAGTCCACGTGGAAGGAAGTGAATCTTGTGAAGATGCACAGAGCTGAACTGCAAAGGGCACTGAGTAGGGATGCATGTTCTGGGAGGAGTTGATGGTCCAATTGTTGGCAGAAAGACCAAACAAGGGCTATTGGCTATTGGGAAAATTGAAGAGAATAATGAAGATTGATGCATCGTTTGCCATCAAAATACATATTGCTGGAAGTGCAGATACGTGCTCCCTGTCTATACATGAAGACACTGATGTCATGTCGGATGGACTTTTTTAAAACTAGTTTGGCCACCCTTGGATATTTTTTGTCACATGTGCTACTGTTATTTATTGATTCCAAGAGTACTCTGGGCTGTGCTGCTACCTCAAGAGCACCGTGCAGTAGCATCCCGGCAGTTGCCACAGTCCCAGTGTCCTGCGTGCTTCGGCCTTATTGTCTAGTGGAGTGACTGTAATACAAGGTTTTTGCTCAAAGACCACTGTCAGGCAGGAAAGGCAGGATGCGCAGGATGGTTTATGTCAATTTACGCTTGCTGTATTTACTCATTCAAGCAAGCTGCACTAAGTTAGTGCTGACTTCAGTCCAGAGTTGTTGGCAGAAGTCACTGTCGCTTCAACAGCTAAGCCACAGGGACAAATATGAGGCAGAGATGCCCTCCGCAGACTTTTCCTTTTTTTGGTCCATGGGAGCAGCGATGCCTCGCTATACGTCATCAACTGGGAGGTGTGTGTGTGTGTGTGTTTTCACACATATGACGTGCCTTGAATGCAACGCCAACCTTTCATGCCAGATTGACCACCATGGGCCATGGAGGGGCACGCGAGTGTGAGGGTTTAGATGGGTTTAGCTGAGAAACAATGACCCTTTTGTTTCCAGCAGATGTGCTTTTCCCTGTAGACCGCTTTCGAATATATACAATTGGGACCCAAGTACTCAGAAACTTGTTGTTTTCTTGTCCCTTCTGGTTTGAGCTTCACACAAGAATGCAAGAGTCATTTCAACTTGGATTGTTCGATGGGACCATTTCTGAATACAAGGAAGGCTCTAAGGACGTTACGTGAACACAGGTTCTTTGACTGTCATAGGAAGTTCTTCGGAAAAGAACTTGAGAGCCGCCCACTTAGTTGATTGGGAAAGTTCTGCTCTGTGGTCAACAAAAATCACTGCTGTTTTCTTGAGCTTCAGTACCATGAGTGAAGTTTTCTCGGAAAACGGAAGCATTGGCTCATGTGGGTAATCAATGGGGTGATTGCTCCCCACCCGTCCCCACTTCGTTTGGCACGGTGCCATTGTTCACCTTGCACAACTTGGCCGGTGGTTCAGTTGCCAGGTCTACTGCTCACAATGTGCCTACACCAACGGCTTGTGCATAGCTGAGAATACTCTTCCAGGGCGACCGCGGTTCGCGCTTCCCGCTTTTGGGGCGACTCATGCGACAGGAACAGCACAGACCGCGACTCCTGTGTTGGTCGCTCCTGGCGACCCATGTTGAACTCGGGAGCAGTTTAAGAGGTACCTGATGGTACCTAGTTTGACATGCCACAAGTGTCAAGCAATGCACAAAAAGACTGTCTTGTAAAGGTGATAGGCGGTTTATTCAGGTTAGAGCCGAGCCTGTGGCTGAGACGATGCCAAATCCTTGTTACTGTAACACCTCCAAATCTGGGCACCTCTCGGAAAGCAGCGCCGCCGGGCGCACTCCCAATCACCGCTGAAAGAAGAAATGTGAAGATGGAAGAATCGGAAGAAATGTGAATTCCAGTTTGAGTTCAGCTGCAATCAGAAAACTTGTCCCAGGACTTCAATCGACGTTTCATATGAGGCAGATGAGGCAGAGAAGACGTCTTGACTCTCATCTCTCATCCGTTCATTTCCGACCACCCTCATCAAACTCGCTTGCCAACTTGTTTCTTGTTGGTGTGTATACTGTGCACATATATATATATATATATATGTGTGTTAATCAAGAAATGACTCCCTCAGCTCCTCGGATTCTCATGCTAAGTTGCGCGATGTGCGGCAAGAAGATGGTGGACGTGCTGGGCCCTTAGAAAGGGCCGGGCCGCGGTGGGGCCTGGGTTCGGATCGTTGAAAAGGGAAGCAAAAGGGCTTTGCTCAACCTCATGCTTGGCTCGAAGTTCACCATGTTGACCCCCTGAAATGGACAGCGAGATGTGTTCTGGCCACATGGACGGCACATAGCGTGCACGGTTCTTTCCCCTGTGCATGGTGCATTCATTGCTTCGCACCTTCAGCTCCACAGAAACCTGAGCCCTCCTCCGTGAGAATAGTGCTTCATGTTTCAATCATCGGCTTTCTTGACTCGCGATTTGTTTCCAAGTGGGAGACATTTCTAATTCATCATTGAGTCTTGACAGGAAGTGCTTGTCCTAGTGCAAGACAACTGCGGTTCGTGTCATACATGTCTTATTTAGATGTATTTAGAACCTATGGCCGTCTATCCTTTTGCTTTGGTGTCACCTGCATGAGCTAAGCTGGGTCTCCAGGCTGGGCATCAAAATCCAACACAGTACCCCAGACACGGTACTGAGACTTCCATCTCAGACGCCTAGAGGCGAATCACCGACTCAGCATTGATGGAATTGGTATGTCACATGGATGTTCAACTCTACACGTAGAGTTGAGCTTTCATTTGCGTCCTTGCCACCCACTTTCGTTTGCTCAATGTCGCAAGAATACACTGCCAGCCTGCCAGCTACATTGAACTTGCTCCCCTCCACTCAACCACTTCGGCAGTTTGTGATCCCTTCCAAGGGTTCACCGTGCTTCACCTATCTCCAGCAGTCCCCCATGTCGAAAATTCGAAACAAACAAACGACCTGTTCGTTCAGTCCCTCACGACGGGTTCAGTCCCCCCGTCTGACCATGACCCGTACCGCCTCAGGTCCAACCACCTCATGTCCACCACGTGACGGGGTCGGCGTCACCGGTGGCCGGACAGCGCCGGACCCCGGACAGCGGTCGTCGGGTGTCCTCGTGGTCGTTTCACCCGAAGGTCAGGGCTGACGGTGGGAGGCTCAATGAACTACGCAGAAGGACACTTGATTAAGATATATTAAGAGTCTAAGAGTCGCAATAGATTCATAAACACCTACTATGCCGGGCTGAGCTCAGCCACACCTCAAGGCCCAAGCCAGGACAGCGCCAATGGCCGAAAAGTGAAAATGCTTGCAAGTCCGGGAAGCGCGGACTCCTTTCTCCTGACTCCTTTCTCCTAAAAATGATCCACCCACCTTTTTAGGTATACCTTCATTTCATTTATATGTAAGGGCTTGGTCCACCCCCAGATGTCCTTCATATGGAGGGGTTTGGGATCTCACATCCGGTTTTCAGGGACCGGTCGGGCTGCGAAGCCGGGCCAGCCAGGGCTGCGAGAAATGCGTTCTGATTAGACACGGTGCATGTCACAAACTACTCACGTACGGAACAAGTAAGTTTGGCTTTTGAGTTTCAGCCGCTGTGTCGATGTGATACTTCAAGGCAATGGATTTTCCAGCCATGCAAGACTTGAGATGTCCAGCTCTTGGCCGACTTGAACAAACAAGCATTGCTTCAGCCGATGAATTCCAATCGCTTGGAGGCGAACGTAGAGCATGAGGCCATGGAATTGGAGCCCCACCAAACAGGCACAGGACAAACTGTGCGGCCTCCAATGCATCATCTACCGGCGAGTTGTGAGTGTTTGAAACATGCTATGTCATTGCATGCAATATAGTATAATATATTGCCATGTGGTAAGTGCTCTATATAGAGCCTTTGTTTGGTTGAAACACACCAGTACAGCTAAATTCTCTTTGATGTCCTCAGTGACATGCTTCGTAGCTCTGTTTTGGCCCCCCCCACGGATGGTGTTTCGGAATTTTGGGGCTCAAGCCCAAAGACGCTACCTGCTGGGCCTGCTGAGATGGACCTCAAGGACAGCTTGTCGAAATTGACGACCAGCAGATCATCCCTTTGAATGACCACCGTTTGGAAGCAGGTTGACATCCAAGGAGTAGGTGAAAGCTCAACAAGCAGCATATCGTATCTACAGCAATTCCTGGAAGGCCTTTGCATATGCCCAAGTATCGTCCTGTGGATTTGTTTGTATAGTGGTAGACCCCCCATCTAAAGACATCTTGGGGTTTGGGCCATCTGGTGATCTAGTCTGGGACCATTGTGACTTCAGTCAATGACTCAGTGGTTGGTGATCTCCATCCATAAGAGAAGTCAAATAGATCATAGTTGTTGTTTTGGTTTTGGTTTAGCAACCAATCAGCAAAACAATATGGTTCAAGGATGTTTGAGGGTAGCGTGACTCATGTTCGCGCAAGCAGAATGGATTGACTTACTCCGTTGCCTTGCTCATGGTCACAGACCTTATGATATTATGGAGCGCAAAAAGCCATCAGACCAACTCCATGTGTGCTGCTCCGATTGAACTACCAAGGAGTCCCAGAAGTTCCTGGAGCGCCCTTCTCATTTGTTTGGAACCGAAGCGTCCGATCGCTCCGTTCGTAGCGATGCCAGGAGCCCCGTTCGTAGAGTCCGATCGCTCCTAGTAGCGTCCTAGCTCGTCCCTTCTCATTTGTTTGGAACTGAAGAACCCCAGGACATCCCTGATCGATGGAAGAAACTGAATGCGGAGACACCTCCGTGCGCCAGGGCTTTTCTCGCTTCAGAAACCGCAAAAGCTGTGCCAAAAACGACCATTTCGTGTTTTAAGCTGTGACAAAAGGTGCAACCCCCTACAACATGTCTATGGTTTGCGCTTTCAGAATTGATATATATATATATAGGTGTATATATATGTGTATATTATTAGTATCATTATGTTTGTTCTTACTGTATTATTTATTACTTGTATAAGTTCTGCTCTACCCGTGCAACTATGCTGAGAATTGATTGGGTGGAGGTCTGCTCATACTCTCCATCGCTCCAGATGGCCCCCATTGAAGAGGACTCTCTACCTGCCACGGCTTCAGGTACAGATATTTCCCGAACCGTAACCGCAAACAGACCACGGTCTACTCGTGGCTGGTGGAATCCTCAGAGGAAAGCACCAGCGAAGCTATAATACTTGCAAATATTGATGAAGTTGACTTCCTAGAGCGACATGACAGAGATCCTCATGCCTTTTCAGTTCACAAAAAAACGAACAAACACATGTAAACAGCTGTTTTTGGGGCAGATTGTGATACTGCTGGAGCAACTGGGACCAGAAGGATTGCTATCATCCACCCTCATCCAATTTAGATCAAGCCATGTCCTTGTGACTCGGTTTGGATCCCGTGAAAACCATCGGTGACTCGGCGGTTTGGATCCCGCCCTCGGTTGGTCAGTGCAAATCTGCCTCAGTCCGATGTCTGCTTTCTGCTGCTTCTCGGTTCTACTCATGTGTCCAACAAACCTGATGAAAAAGAAAGAACATCCAGCTCAAGTGTTTGCGAATACCTCCTGAAACTGCCACAGGCCCACAGGAAACTCATCTACTGAAACTCCGTGACATCGACCAATGTTGCTTGTTTATGACTAGCTGATGGAAACAAAACGAAAACATCCATTCGAGTTTGCCCTCCCCAAAGGAGGAATGCATCCCATGCGTCCCATATTTGGGTGTGTCCCATGACCAGTAGTAGTCGATACAAGCTAAGATTATGTGTTTTTTTCAGAAAAACCTTCACCGACCATCATCCTCCACTGTTACTGGGAATTGTATATACCCAATCCTCTACTTGATCGGTTTGCATGGCACCTTTCTTGCTTCTCCAGTCTTTGCGTAACAGTGAAATGATTGGATCCTCCCTATCTCAGCACGTTTGTAGACAACATTCTTTTAGATTATAGTCTCCATCCAACAATCATGGATGTGGAACAATCGTTTCAGCGCTCCCTGCCCCGACAACTCAGGGGCTAGCGGCCTTCACTGCCTTCGGATGGTTCCTGTTCCAGGCATCGATGGTTCCTGGCGGGCCAAGCCAAATCAAGATCAACTGTTGGATGAGCTGCGGTTCTTTGAAGCGTAAGTTCTTCAAGGTCTAATATGTCAATGAGGACTAGAATTTTGGTCCTGGTTGCCCTGAGGATTCTCCGATTTAATTTTCTGGGATCTAGTTAGCAGTTAGCACCCATCCCGCGAAACTTCAGGGTATAGCCAGGCATAGATGAACCTGGAAACAATCCCTGCTTGGGTGGTGCCTTGAAATTAGAGAACTCATGAAAGCTCTTTGGAAAACGAAGGGGTTCTTCATCCTGATTCCAGACCAGAGACCTGGACCTCTAAGAACAAAGCTGAACATGAAACATGCTCAAAAGAGACTGTCCTTTGTGTTGACCCGATGAAGGGTAAACCTAATAATCCTAATAGCGATGCCTCCAACCTACTAGCAAGGGCCTCCACCCTAATAGCGAAAAAGGTATTACTATATAGAGCTTTTGACAACATGACTGGAAAGAAACACCATGACATCTGTCGGCAGTGCCCAGCCATTCATGTTTGGCGCCGAAAAAGACTTTCCACCAGAGGCGATCGAGCGTTACACAGAGAGTAAGGAGGGGATGTGGAGGGACTATGCGAGGACCGACTGAGAACCGGAGGGCCGACGTTGAAGCCCTACAGGCCACAGAGTAGAATCAGATGTTTGATAGATCCTGCAAAGACGCGACCGACCCGAATCGTTTGGGAGGGGTTTGGGGTCTCGATTCTCCGGCTGTGTCCAGAGCATTTGGGTGCAAAGACATTTGGACGTTCAGGATCTTTTTGATGAGTCTACATCCTGACCCTCTAGTTGGCATGGGACGCCGTGGGGTCTCCAGCTTCGGGCTGTTTGCGAGCTGCGCTCTCTTTTCAGCGACTCTTTGCAGGACCCATATGACCTTCCAGCAAGCGAGCATGAATAAGAACACGCAAGAAGTCACGGGGCTCAGTGATCCGGTACCTACCTCTGTGCGGTGCTTGTGTTCTGGCATTGGCTGTTCCAAACGGATGAGGTCCGGGATCTCCCTCAAAAGATCTCAAAATGGTAGCCTCAGAGTAGCAGCCGCATGGAGGGATAGAAAGCGATCTATCGACGAGTTGCTTTGATGGGAGCCACATGCAAATGTTGGCTGCTGCGGTGGCCTGTAAAGGCTGAAACAGTGAGGAATAGTGAGAGAAGCTTTGAGCTGATGACACTAAAGTTTAAAGGTTTTGATGACCTAAACATGAGATCATTCTCATATTATGAGGTTTACCTTCCGAATGCTTGGCCGCATGCTGATTGAACCTTGCTGCGGTCTGTGGGCTTATGGTGTGCCCAAGAGGTGGTATGTTTGCTCTTCAAAACTGTAGGCCTTGCATTCACCATTCGTAGGTTGGAGGCCATTGCTAGTAGGTTGGAGGCCATCGCAATTGAATTCTATTCAATATTCATATACTGAAACCTATGCTCTGGAAAGCTCCAGCCGAGCCGATGTAACAAAACCGTGAATGCTGCTACCTGGCAGAAAACGACTATGTTTGACTGGTCGAGGTGACTTCGTCGATCAAATTCGATGACCGACTGCGACCCCTTCGGAAGACTGAGGCTTTCAATGAAATCAAGATGCAAGCGCGTCGGAAGCGCTTGGGCTTGCCCCCAGAGGCGAGCCTTCTGGAGCCGTCTGACGCGCCGGCTTGGCTTTGCAGGTGATGCTGGAATCCACAAAAGTGCTGAGTTAGCTGGAAGAAGATTCAGGAGATGCAGTTCTACTATAAAGTTCTAGTGACTTGGAGGCCATCGCCAGTAATTAGGTTGCAGGCCGTGGCTATTAATTGGGTTGGAGGCCATCATTGCTATTAGGTTGGATGCAATCGCTAGTAGTTTGGAGGCCATCGCTATTTTGTCCTAGTGAGACTTGTTCTTTGAACACTTGGAACGAAAGAACCCCTGTTCGAATCCGCTGGAAATCACCCCCCAACCGTGTCGGACCATTCCGACCAAACCGTGTCCATCATGGTGGATCATGAGATTAATTCAACATGCATTTGTTTACGATGCAACACATGTGTTTACATCTTAATTCTAATGGGTGAAGACTTCTCGGTGGATTTTGTGGAGCTGGCTGGACCTCGACCCAGCTTCATCCAGCTTCTATTTGGAGGGCATCACCGAAAACAGCTGATGGCCATCATTCTGTATGACAAATGTCATCACGTTTATATACAGTATACTGAGACCAGTATATGCAATACATGCATAATGTATCTCTAATTGTTGTGTTTGTTTATAATGATATGACACGTACATCATTGTGGAGCCGATTCAATGCATGATCGACACTCAGACGTGCCACCCACTCTTCACTTCATGTTTCATGTTGTAGTGTATAGACACTGTTCACCAGAGTCTTTGTTACCTAGACTGTTAGCATCAATAGGAGGACGGACAAAAAACAAAACGACAAAACAATCAACCTATTTTGCATGGCTTTGCTTTGCTTGGCTTCCTCTCCTTGAAATCGCCATCCTGACCCGATGAACCAGGCGCCAGGGAGTGTGGAGATTGTGGACCCCAACGGGGAGTGATCCAAATGAAGCCTACACGTCCTGCGGTGGGCGTGTCCTGCGACCCAGAAGCGAAGAAAGAAACGGAACCGAAAGAAGGACGGTGTCATTCCAGGGAGGGATGGTTGATGGATGGGGAAGATGCAACTGAGTTTATTCTTTTCTTGTTCATGCTTGTTCTTTATAAGAGCCTGAAAACTCAGAGAGGATGGTCTACAAGAGGTGCTCCTTGTCAATCCAGGTGTCTTCCACATGAGACTCACAGCTTCTTCGGACTGGCCGTGGGGGAATAGCTCGGGAGGCACAGCCGTTTTGTGGGTTGATGTCCGGGGGGGTTATGCCAAATGATGTATCGAAATTTTCATGAACAGATATACATCTTGCGGTTGCTCATGAGGAAGTGCCAGCTGCAAGCTGCTTCAATGTTTATTTTCAGGTATGAAGTGCAGACCCAGAGCTGACAGCCGAAAACCTTTAAGGTAGAACAAGTGCATCACTGCTAGTAACAAGTGCATCGCTTCTAGTAACAAGGACATTTCTACTAGTAGCGACAAGCTACTAGTAACAAGGGTCTCGTTTCTTCTGCTCGATCCCTTCGGCTCGTCAACGAATCCTGAGGCTTCAGTGCCCGACTGTGACATAGACAGGATTTGTGACCGCGAACCGCGTGGTACAAATTGGTACAACATAGACTTAAATAGACTTAGCCACTACATGTATGTTGCCAAAATCACGACCAGGACCCCCCCACTGATATTGCAACATACATGCTATTGCATTCCCAGAACCAAAATGAGCTATGACTCCAATGAAGATATATATATATAATGAAGTAAGCATCCACTGCATATATATATAATATATACTCCATAGCATCCACTGCAGGTTGGACAGTATCCACTGCCTGCAATACTGCAAGCAAGCTTGAATCCAAAATAACTTGTTCGGACTCGGAAGCTTGTGGACTTTATCCTCATGCCCTAGAGAGCTTCTCGCCAGTACGAGGAAGCACTAGTCAAGACGGTTTCCCAGCTGTTCTGCCATTTTCATGGTTTGAGCTGGTTCTCCACGTCATGCCTGTGGTTGTTCTATGCTGGATATCGGTTGTGGGTTGACTCCACCTTTCCCTGCAATCCCTCCCTCAGCTTAGGAACTGCTCTTCTCAAGACCCAGAAGCCATCCAATACTCAAGTGGAGGGGTCTTTTGCATTCGTGGAGACTACTCGTCTTTGAAGTCCATGAACCTTGAAACGACAGCTATAGCCTCTGGCTGGGCTGTGCTCCATTTTTCTGTCGACCCGAATTTAGGGGTTCTCTCGTTTTCAATACGGAACCTGAAACATCAGTGTTGCGGGGAGCGTCTTAGTCTAGTGAAGCAGTGAAGCACTAGATGTGTTGCCATGAGTTCGATCAGAACTAATTCGAGCTTGCTGTGCACCATTGGACCAAACCCGTGCAGTCCACGGGCTGGACCCAGTAGTTTCTGAGTCTCAGCATTTTCCGAGGGCCTCTTCGAGATGTACAGCGAATGATTACGTAGTCCCTCTCATCCAAAACTCGGTATAGTTGGCTGGGGCTAACAGGTTGACAATGCAGGATAGCTACTGTACATATGCTCAAGCACTGTTCTTCTCGGGCACGACAACAGCCTGGAAAGGCGTCTTGTACTTGGATAGCGATACGATATTGATACGTATGACCTATGACAACTTATGCCATCTACACACTATACATGCATGTATAATATCTAGATCTGGTACAGCCTACACCAAATTGCTTTTTGTTGACTCTTTGTGCGTTTGCTTTTGCACAAAGCTCTGCCAGACATGGCTCATTCAGAAGTGCAGAACGATACAGTACCTAGCTTCGAGGATTGAATGCAGTTGTAGATCATTGACATCGAAAAGAGTGTTGAGCAGCAACTATTGAGCTACACGTGTTGAACCCTTCGTCAGCAGATTCCAAGTTCCAATCACTTCTTAGTCGTTGCCTTGTTCCTCTCAACGTAAGATGCGTGCTTGGTCGATCGATGCGTGGTCGAACTGCTTTGAGGATTGGATGTCCCACAGTAAACTTGCCGTATCTGGCCGAATCATCATGCTCCTATCACCTGGGAGAAGCCTCTCGGGTGCTGAGACTCCTTGTCGCTGCGACGTGGCGCCACAGCCAAAAGATCCATGCAGTGGGAACGATATGTTCTACAAGGGTGGATACAGATGAAGCTAGATAAGGTAGGGTTGTCTACCAGCCAGCCCTTTTTGTACAAACTCTATTGTATGGAGCCCCAGTGCAATCCCTCCTTGTGCAAAGCATTTATTCTGAAGGTTGCCCTCATGAGGTTTCTCCAAGCATCAGGCCTGATTGAACACCAGACAACCCCCAGGTCACTTGCTCAATGAGGGACCAAACCTTTTTTCCGAACACACTAGGGGCTTTGAGGACCCACAATTTTGCCACACACAATCATATACTAAACTCTAACACTTGCACTCATTGAGAAAAAATATAGTCTTCCTTCGCCCCCAAACAGGATGCCGTTTGTCGAGTGTCTTTGTTTTTCAGGGCTCGGCCCTTCCGTCGTACGAGCCCAGCGCGTCCGGAGTTGTTCCAAAAGTCCCGGTTGGAGTTCTCATGAATTCCATGAGTTGGCTGTCGCAGACGTACAGCTGCTCGTTGAAGAGCTTGCAATAGCACAGTGCATAGCACAGTGCTGGATACATCAATGTCATATCAATGTCAATCCGTGAAATACACATGGTCAACACATAATTGTGTTCAACATGTTTTGACACACATGGCAACAGGAGGTGTTTCGATCAATCGAGCGAAGTCGGCTTGATCATCTCTTACATGGATCGAGAAGATAGACGTTTCACAACAGCTCCTCGTTGGGACATTGGATAGATCCTTTGAGCTAGCAAGTTCATTGAGCTGCACTTTGCCACATAATTGCCCATCATATACAAAAGAACCAACACAGTAGCAGCCCGGAAGCCATGGCCAAGTGGAATTTTCCAGGCCACGTTCCCTGATGATGAGTCTTTTCAGCTTACGAACATACAAGCGACAACGGCATGGTGACTGCTTTGTTTTGCTTTCTTCCGATTGCTTGAGGAAGGGGGAGAGCACATGTGAGCCGATATATGCTCCCTAGATTTGTTTTCTTTCCGTGTGACATCGTGACCAACGTAAGGACCAACCCCTCGTCGCCTTACGTGCATCACGGAGTGGCATCCCGGCCTCGATCCGTCGCGTAGCCAAAATTCCATCTCGCAGGTGAGGAGGACCACGGCGCCTTTTGGAGGTCATTGGCTCGGAGAGAACAGTTGTTTTTCAAGAACTACACGCTGAAAAGGCACCGAGAGGGTCGGCGCTTGGCTCGTTGGAATTGGAAAGACCTTTGGTGCCCCCGAATTTCATGGATTGAGGAGAAGAACTGGGTGTTTGTTCGTAGGTGGTCCACCCCATTCGTTAAAGGATGTTTCGATGTCAAAGGCGCATCGGCTGAGCTTCTGCTTTGCTGCGTCCCAGGCCCGAGGTCGACGAGCTCGTCCAGGCCCGAGCGCCGGACCCGGCAAAATGGTGCCGGACCCGAGGAGACTCGTTCCAAAAGCAGGTTCATGTCACCAGGCTGGATCAAAAAGGATATAATGGTTTCTACCTGTTTCTACCTGTTTCAGCACATCATCCAATTTCCCAATACTTTTGAATCATATGATGCATTGAGACGAGAGTTCACGGGAAAAATCAAGTTGTTTAGTTTAGTTGATGGACCTGTCTTCGTGCATTGATCAGATTCCTGCGCAGGTGGGCTTGTTCTACATGTTCCTTTTCTATTTATCTACCAGGGGACTGTCCAGATGTCAACCGTTGTCAACCTTGTTGCTTTGGACTGTCGCAGTACCCTTTTAATCACATCTCAGGTTTGGTACCGGTACCACAGCTGTGGTTAAAGTGGTCGGCAAATGTTGGTAGAAAGGCTTCTTGAGATTGCAACATCGATTATCATTTTTCATCCAATGCAGGAAGATCTTGAAGAAGTCGTGTACTAGAAACTCTTCCCACGAGTCACGAGTACACCTTTCTTGCCTCGCCACCTGGTAGAGACAGTTGATGGACTTGATATGATGTCATTCCGAAGGTCCTTATGACGTTTTGTACGTTTGGCATGATTGAGTTGATTCAGACACTTTGGCCTCGGTGTCTCAAGACTTGCAACGTCATCCGCTGTGATCAGTGACCAGGATCTCCCCAGCAGAGGCGTCCAGCGGGCCAGAGAAGCAGGGCTGGCCCGGGCCATGCCCACTTGGAATGGGTGCTGTACTCAATCGTTCTCATTCTTTCAGATGCTCAAAAGGATTGTTCTTTGCGGCCGAAAAACAGGGATCCCGTTGATCTTTGTCCCTAAAGAAGTGGGCGGATGAACCCGGAAGTGTTGCTGGACCCCTGGAGGCAAACCCTGGACCTCACCGAATACACATGCTTATGCGTAGTTGGTATAGGTGTATTCGTGAGACCGGATGCAAGAAGCCGGCTCAAAACCAAAAGCCAACACGTGCCATGACAGTATAAAATTATGTGACCGGGAAATCCTGGAACTGCTTGGATGTTTGCCACATGTATCACGTCGTGGGTCTTGGTCCTAAGCCCTAAGCTATTCAGATTCTCACAGTGATGCAAGCAAATTGTTGATTGTCAGGTCATTTTTCGGATAAAGTCTTGTTTTCTGAATATGTTCAAGGTGATGCTGTCTCCATACTGATTTTCTCACCAAAAGTGCGGAATTCAGCTACACGCCCTGAAGACATCATCGAAGTGGAATCCAGGATAACCATGTTCCTCTACAAAGGTTTTCCACTTCCGTGTTAGTCACTTGGAGAGTACAATGGCTGATTCTCAGTAGCTTTGTGCCTTGTTGGACCGGCTTCATGATTGAAGGGGATGCCTGTGGCAAGGGGAAGGAACCGCGTGGATGACGGGCTCCAACAGGAGTCAGTCAGGTCCTTCGTTGAGGTTTTGTTCTTGCGAATTTTCCCAGGAGTCAGTCAGGCAGAACACTTTTGGCATAGAGCCAGCACACAAATTGTTGACATGTTTGGGCGTCCATATCGACGTGGAGAAATCATTGTCCAGTTCAGCGATTGAAATCGAGGTGAAGACCAAAAATGGTTGATAACGCTGGATGCACCCCCACTTTAGTCGATGTTATAATGCCACAAAATGAGATGTTATATGTTGTTTCTTCAACCATGGCGGTGACACAAAACCAGGATTCGCACCTAGCGCTGCAACTTGCGCAAAAAGTCTGCGCTTCGACGCGGCTAGGCGAGGAAGAGCAGATGGATGAAAGGACCGATGAGGCCATGTTTCCACTGCCACAAAGCTTCCGTCGATTGTGAATGGTTTCCTGGTGTTTCGCTTCTTGTTTCCTCAGAGGAGCTCCTGCATAGGAATTGCGAATTCGTCAGATGATGTCGAGCAAAGCTGGCTCAAAGAGGAGTTTGTTGGGTTTGGTTATTTGCTAATAGGTTCCCTTCATCGATGCCGTCGGATGGAATCAGGTTGCTGCAGTCACATGCGGTTGATGGGGTGTTTTCTCTGCACAGTTACAGTTGAATCCAGGTGTATCTAGGAACTCAGATCAACGGTTTGCGACTTCGAGGTTGTATTTCATTCAGCAACTCACAGAACTTATATGAACTTATGGGGTCTAGGACCATCCATGGAAGCCTTTCCTTAACCCAATGACCTGTGATGTCAGGGTCTTTGCAACCTTCGACCCATACAGGTCCAAGACCTCACTGCACTCCAAAAAACACGGCTCAATGAGGTCAAGGACCAGGTTGGGACCTGGGTCAGACTGGACCTGTAGCAGTAGCGAGTCTAGAAGTAGTCTCCTGCTTCTGCGGACGTCGAAGGGCGTGGCCGAGTACTTTGTGGCTGGGATGCTGAAGGCGCAGTGGCCGAATCAGAACGATCCACGGCAAACAGACACCGGAATCACCGGAAGAGGGGAACGTCACACAAAGGGACTCGCAGATTGAGCAGGGTTTGGCCGCCTCGGGCGGGAGGTTTCGCACGTGGGTGTTTCGCACGGAACCGTTGGAGTGTTTCGCACGCTTTGGCATACGTGGCGTACGTGGTGAACTTGCGGGGCATCTTGGGACCATTTGGGGCCACCAAATGATCGTACCGCTTCTTCAAACCAGCAGGGACCTTCACATGGAACTCGGTCTAGTCGCTACCAAGGGCTGTGCAAAAAGCAGTTGTCCATTTGGTGAATCCAAGTCCTGCGGGTGTTCCATGCCTTCAGACTGAGGTAGAGAATCATCTCTTCAACAGTTGTTGGTCTTAAGCATCGCGCTGTACCTGTGACTGGTACACTTGATCATGAAGTTTGCCCCAGCTTTGACCCAGCAAACTGTGACCTGAAGATACCTGAAGCTCTTCGTGGCTCATTGCTCCGTGGCGTTTGACTCCTTACAAACGCCACTGAATCCAAAGAATGTTTTCAGGCCAACTGGACCATGTTCCATCCATATACTGTTCCTGGATTGAACTATCCAGTATATGAACATCTATCCATTCATGTTGCCAGGTTCCCTTCTCAACCCACCTGGCAAGTTCACCTCGAAGCGACTCGAAGCTCCGTTTCACGCCGAGGCCAGGGAGGAGGGCCTAGATCTCTTCGCTCGGACTCCAACGCGCGGCCAGGCACCGGCACCGGCTGTGATTGAACATACAGATTGGTCATTTGGAAACAGCTATAGCTTGAAGAATGGCTATATATCAAGTTGGGAAAACAATTGTTTCTGTCTTGGGGTTGAAGGGTTATTCTCTTCCCACTGTATCTATCTATCTATCTATCTATATTCCTGTTTTCGAGACACTAAATGATCCAAAAAGACGAGAGTGACGAAGATTTGTAGGTGGTAGGGAGTTGTTTTCGGCCATGGAACTTTGGTCCGGCCATGGAACTTTTACACTGTAACAAAGGATGTCACATGTCATGCTTTAATGTCGCCATTGGTGTTGCCAATAATGTATTCTTCCCCAGATCCTGAAGACCAGTTCCTCATGTTGCTTTGGTTCCCACGTTGCTTGGCTTCAATTTGCTGTCCTGCAGATCCCCATCAATGGAGTTGCCAAGGTGTTGGTCAAGTCACCGATGTGCTCTTGAGTTGTTTATACCATTATCTGGACGCGAAAACCAAAAACAAGAACATTTGGGCTTGCAAGCTCTTTAGCCTTCAAATGGTCCCGTCATGTCAAGTCAAATCTGGATTCCCCAGCTGTGGCTTCCCAGGTGTGCCGGGTCTCCGCCCGCCCGGGCCTTGGCAGGTGAACTGATGAGGCCTGACACTCCCCCCTTCCAGAAATCGGACTCGTAGGTTGAGAGGACCAATGGCACAGACGGCCCAAGTCTGGTGCCATCTACTCTGAAACCGTTTTCTGGATGGAAGTGGAGCCAAGTGGTTGGCCCTGCTGAATTAGTTCCTCTACCAAGAGGAACATCCTCGCTATCAGTTTTTGGTTGGAGGGAGGGTGACCCCCATTTCTCCTCCACGTGATGTGCCAACATCAGTCATCAGTTGCAAGGAGCGCAGTGGCAGACCACCATGACAGATCGCAACAGCTTGTGCCCCCTAAGGTGACAATGTTTAAAATCTGCGGTCAACTTGGATGGGCTCTACTTTTCTTCGTGATATTCTATCAGCCAACGGTGTGAGTGTGAGTGATGGGCAGCTTTTGTTTCTCTTGCTTGAACTTCACATCAGAGAGGTGTGGTAACACGCAGACACAGTAGACACAGACACGGACACAGGCGGAGACAGACACACGCACACGCACACGCACACGCACACACTTCGACAATTGTATTCAGTTAACTCAGTTCCCACGCTGGGAAGGATGGCGGTGGAACAGCAT